AAAGATTAGAAAATTCAATACAAGAACTAAATATTTCTGGTGGTACATAAAATTTTCCTTGTTTTTACATGTTCTTGTTATTTTTCTTACCCACAGCATCATGGATGATGTAGTGACAGTCAATTTGGGTCTATCCCTTTGAATACAAGAGACTCTCTGCATAAATGAAGAAATATTTAAAACATGAATCTCATTTTGAAAAATAAAACATGCCATCTCATTTCCTTGAATTATCAACATTACTAAGTATAGAATATAAAAAAAAACTTTTTAAATTAATGCAATCTCACTTAGGACATTATAACATGATTTATTTGCAGTGTAATTTAAATAAAAGTGGCTTTCCTCTTTTTAACTGTTTTTTTTTCAAGTTCAAGATACACATTGAAAAATCATTGGAAAACTTTTTTCCTAATTTAGACTTTTGTTATAAGATCTCTCTGCATGTGGAGTCATAAATCTTGAGTAAGTCATGAGTATTTTTCAAAAAATGTTGGAAGATAAACTATCTATACCTTGGATACACATCAAAATGTTTAGTGTTCTAATGAAGTTGAGAATCTCTTTTGAGTATTAAGTAGAAAACGAAAAACTGCAAAATGTGTCTTTTTCTCCTCTAACCAGAACAGACCTTCATTCTGCTGTTATTTGATTAATAGTTTTAAATTATCAGATTGTTTTCAAGTCTTATACTCACATGTTATTGTTTAGGATTATTTCTTTACCAACCTGTGACCCAGATATCTTTAAAACCTTGGATATTATCTAAGGAGCACATCTCAATTGGTCTCGTACAGAAAAATAAAAGATAATTTGTTTTAATGAAATTTTCATTTCAAAGATCATTTTCCAGTGACCTAGTATCATTGTGACATAAGAAGAGAGCAGTTCTCATCTTCATTTTATCATTTATTGGTTGGGAAATTGGAGTCCCAGTTACACCAAAAAAAATAGTTAACTTGCCCAAGGTTTACTTACACTTTACTGCCAAAGCTAAATTCAAAACTCAGTCTGAGCTTAGATAAGCATCCTAGGGGTTTTCCAAAAAGATCATCTTTCCCTTTCGCATCAAGACCACAAGATAAATACTTATATATGTAACAAATTAGCAAAACACAACATTCACATAATTACAAAATATTCACACTTTAAAGTTATCTGTGTATGATATGTACAATCTAGATAAATTTTCTCATTACCTACATAAAATTTAGGAAAAGGTTCAGAGAAAATAGCATAAAGGTAAAAATTATACAAGATAGTAGAATTTATTAAGAATATGACACATAATTTTACCAGTACCAGCCACAGTATATACTTCAAAAAACAGTCACTGCTCTAAAAACTTTTTTTTAAGATTTCTGAAAGAATTTCATTATTAGCATGGCGAATTGGCCAGATCTCAACAGGAAAACGAAGTCTCCTTAAATTTAAGAGAAGCTATGACTTGCATTTAGTTTCTGAAAAGATTAATTTTCTTTTTCAAAGATTTTTTAATTTATCAAACAAGAACTGGGGTACAGGCCAGAGGTGCGGGGATGAGAGGATTCACCAGAGACACAGTGGAGCAGAACAGGCAGATTTGACAGAACTACACTGCTGAGGGGAACAGTGGGTAGGTCAGGAGAGGTTCAGCTGTGCCATGTGGGGCACCTCCCTGCATGTGGGATCCACCTTGTGCTGCAGTGGCTTTGGATAGCTTTATAGTGCTGCACTCTAACTTTTTGTGCCACCAGTGAGGGCCCAAGATTAATTTTCAAAATGGCACTTCAGTTTGTGCTCATAATTAACATTCTTATTAAAGTGCTGGGTACTCTAAAAGTATACATTTAAAAGCTTAAATTTTCTAGTTCTGGATCTACAGAATTTTTTAACTTGGAATCTTTGATAGTTGTACTCTTGATATCAGATGAAACCAGAATCATAATAAGAACTTTGATTTTAAGAATAAAGTATGTGTCTCTATTTAATGTCTATGCCCAAACCATTCTAAATACTATTCATATTAATATGGGACACTGGTGACTTTGGTATCATCATCTGCCTTTGTATGCCTATTTGCCTTATATCAAAGTTCCTGCCTACTAGATCACATTTAGAGCATAATATCCTGATACAGACTGGAAAAAAAAAAACTTGCTATTAAAATGCAACGCTCACATTTCCATTTTTTAAAATTTCACGTTTGCTATTAATAATAGTCACCTGACAGGCTCCAGTATCTGATCTTATATATTATCATAGAAAAATATGGACGGTGTATAACTTGCTTTGAAAATATTCAGATTTTAATTACATATTTATTTACTCCTATTATTACATTGTTCAGAAATAGAATCATAAAAATTTTATTTTGGATGCATTGAGAACATCTATGCAGTGTAAGAATAAAACATGCAGTCATCTGGTCCCCCAAAAGAGAATCTACTATTTATGTGCTGGTAGAGGCAACACAGAACATAATTATATCATTATTGCATGTATTTAAGCAAGTGCTCACCCTTTTATTCAAATTCAACTGGTAAGAATTGTGAAATCTGGAAACCTAAAAGACTATTCTATATACAGTGTTTGCTGAACACATGCAATCCTGCTGAAAACAGCAGAGTGCATTCAGCACCTGATCAGTCATGCACACAGGAACAGAGGTGGGTGGGAAAGAAAACTGCACCATAAATAAACAGCAGATACTTTCTCCCCCTTGGTTGCAAACTGGAAAAGTTCAAAACCATATACTTCTTTCCCACATATGTATAAACAATGATATTGTAGGCCAATTAGGTGAAGCTCTGAATCAATGTCAGAACACATGTAATATTTGCACCAGTAATAAGCAAAGGTATGGGTTGTAACTTCAAACTGCCCTGCTGCTTCATGGTCATTCTTCTAGCTTTACACCAACTGTCACTGTTGAAGCATGAAGTTATTTTATTATTTGTTAGCCTTTTAAAGCTTAGTCAACTTTGTCTCATATATGAATTCAACAATACCCTGAATTTCAACAAATACCACAGGTCAAGAAAAAGGTTCCATCCTCACCATGAAAGCAACAAAGTTCCAATTTCAAGATTGATTATTTTACACCATGATTTCTCATTTTCCTGTGCCTATGGTAGGTAGATATTGTAGCACGTCATGGGGAAAGGCACCCCTGAATACTTCCACTGTGAATAACCGAAGCTATGGCACAAAGAAAGGAAAATGAACCCAGGATACATAACATCTGGTCTGAGTCTCTTAAATTAATGAGGCACATCTTGTGGGCATATGAAGAGGTTCTAACAGAAATTCTAAAATATCAAGCATTTCAATACATTTTCCTGTTTTGCACTTCTCCAGCTTGACTGTGAAAAACTCATGTTCAGTTCTAGGAGATAATTAGAAAGCTCATAAAAATGGGTAGAAATGATCAAAAGATTTCCTTTGATTTTGCTATCATCATGTGTATGTTGTTTATATATGTGTGTGTATATATACATGTGTAGGTATATACATATACACATATATACACACACACAAATGATTTTATAATGTACAAATTACTAGTATATATTTTCAATTTGATTCACACTCACTGCCATTTATTAAATGTTATGCACATACCAATTTAGAATTATGCCTCTCTTCAATGTCTTTAAAAAAGTAGTCAAAGGAAATGAATACATGTAATTCATTCTTGATATACATCATGTAAGGAACTAGTAATACACAATTCTTTGTGACTTTTTTCAGTTAATAATAGGCACTTTCTAAGAAGAGGATTTGTGACCCAAAGGGCTCTGAAATTCAGTCTGTAGTACCCCCCTTTCATAAATGGAGCTAACTGAACCATTGATCTACTGTATTAGCTCAGCATAAGTCCAGCAATTGAACTGTGTGCAAAAAGCTTCAGAAAATGGTAACCAGAATAAACCTATAGAAAAGCAGTTATCTGAGTTGAACAGACATCTATTTCTTAGCTGTTCTTTTAAACCACATTTTACATGTTATCTCTATAAACAGTGTGAACTATCCCAGACCTGTTTTTTCATCCTTTCTAAATTACAGACATGCTACAAAAACAAACAAACAAACTTGTTTATCCTTTTCACATCACTGCAATTAAGTTTGACATGATTATTACGTAAATGTTTTGTGGGTGTTTGTGTCTGTACTAAGAGTCATTCAACTTCACCCTTTAGCAAGTTTTGGGAACAAAAATTTAGAACATTCATATCTTTGGAAAATCAGCTTCTCAATACAAATTGTTAGAAGGCCTTTTTACCCTGTGGTGCAGTAGTTCTATAATAACATACACTATATTAGTAGTTTAATATTTATGGGGTTGACGAAATCAGCGTACAAGATGGTAGGTAGCTGCTCTCCAAGACGGAGGGAGTAGGGATTTCCTTACATAAGAGTTAATGATTACTATCTAAATATAATGTAAAAAAATGAGAGGTATCGTTGAATAAAAATGCAAATTCATGCACAAAACCCATAGCACTAATTTCTCAATATCCCACATTGCTATCTGACTTAAGAAAACAATCATTTCAATGGTACAAACTGCCATTTGGGGAAAGTTATATAAGTTACAAAAAACACCCATGGAAAGAGATCATAAAATGGACTAACAGTTGAAAAGCTGAACTCTTCCTTGATATTAATCTATAATTTGAACTTAACAGAACAGTGAGGAAATGACAGCTCTAAATACTCAGCCTGAGATCAAATTTGTCATGGCAACATTGGCAGGTTGGACCCTGATTCTTCTAATATTACATTGCCTTGGTTAACAAAAATCATACCTTTGTTATTATAGAATAGATATTATAAATGTAAATTGTGCATGCAGTCAACTGCATAATATACAAGCAATATCTATGTTTTAAATAATCATCTTCTTTGGCAGGCCAGAATCCAGCTGGACATGCAATATTTACATATCAAAATCCATATTGTGTTCATCATATTGAAAGCAAGTGAAAATATATATATATGTATATACTGTATATACACACATATGTATATAGATGTATATACTTTTTGGAATCTATTAACAAATATATATGCATATCTATTAAAAGTGGATCTCGTCTTTGTCAGATTCAGGTGACTCAGGCCTTGAAACGCTAAAAATATCCTGACATGGTATTTGGGAAGGTACCTGGAGTGGCATTTGGGATTTGGGGGACAAGGTCTGGGGCACACTTTTTTCAGAGAGTATTTTCAATATTTCTGCCACCTGCTTTTCCAGGGCAGTCATTCTGCAGCTCAGCAACTGGATGTCCTCTTTCAGTTCGTGTTTGACTTCCTGCAGTGTGGTTTGTAAGGCCTGCTCCGGGATGGGATAAAAGGGGTGCTTGGCATCAGCCTGAATGGGGCTGTGCTCTAATGGACTTCGTGCCTCACCGGCTTTATCCAAACGAAGGTCACTTTTTGTGATCCCACTGTCGCAAGAATCTGTTTTCCTTAGCGGGTTTTTGGTCACGCTGTTCTCTGAGTCGCTGCCCTTGGGGTCCTCAGACAACAGCCCCAGGGACTCAGCTTTAGTGACATTGTTCCAGTCTTCCTTTTTCTCCTCGTGGGCTCCCATGTTATTCTTGAGTCGCAGCCACCCTTTCCCATTTCCGTTCTTCATCCGTATGGGACTGTTGACTTTGAGACATTTGGGGTCAGCACCACTATTGGGCTTGAGCTCCATGGCATCGCGGTTGTTTTGCTTGAGGGATTCACTGGTTTTCACGTAGGCCAGCGACGTCTGGATGGGTGTGATCTGGGACACAGTGACCACACTGGTGCCAGTAATGGAGGCTCCGTTCTGCAAGGAGCGACTTTCTACTTGAAGCTGGTTCCGCTCGGGGTCGCTCTGTGATGACCCCTGATTCCGCAGCTCCTTCTGTTGCTTAAACTTCTGAAAGAGCTTCCTGACTGGGTGGTCCACAGGGATGCTGAGAGTGACCTCGTTCTTCTGTCTGAGACGCTCCTCCTCTTCCTTCTTCACATCACTGATTTTACGAAATATGATCTGTGGAGGGGGAGAGAGTGAAATGGGATTAAGATACAGATGAGTTTATAATTGTTTCACAGTATCCTGAAGATACTATGTTTAGCTGGAAGAAATTCTTAAACATAGTATAAAGTCACTTCTGAAAGGAAAAATGTTGCAATACTTTTAACAGGTACAATAATATTTAAAATTCAATGGAACATTGACTAAGCTTATTTAGTCTATTCTTTTGCGTATCAAGGGAAATATAGAAAAGGGACAATTGACTACTTGTTTTCTAATTTATGTCCCCACTTAATAGAAAATATTAATATGCAAATATGCATAATCTTGTGTATTATGTGTGTGGGTACATACATGTGTAAGAAAACATAGTTTTTTTTTTTTTTTAAGATTTACTTATTTCTTCATACAGAACTGGGGTACAGGCCAGAGATGCGGAGGGTGAGAGGATTCACCAGAGACAGAGTGGGATACAGAACAAGCAGATCGACGAAGTACACTGCTGAGGAGAGGTCTGCAGTGCTATGTGAATCTCCTCGGAGCTGGCAGGCGGGAATCAAACTCATGCAGAAATGGCTTAAGCTTCTTAGTGCTGTGCTTTAACCCACTGCGCCACAAGGGAGGGCCCATAGTTTTTTTTTTTTTTTTAATTTCCTTATAATGCACCACTATTTTTGTATGTTTTCCTTTTCTATGTAAATGTGAGTCAAAACTATTGAGCCAAAGAGTAATAGTTCTAGACTGTTTGAAAGTTTAGCAACATAACACCTAGTCATAGTGGCAGGAGGGATTAAATCTATTTAAGTGTCTCCAGAGACCAGAATGAGAATCTATATATAAATGCTTCTAGAAGGAAAATTCCAACTGAACATACAGACTTGACTTAATATCTATTAACTGAATAAACTTTCATAAAAATTCATAATCTTACATCATCAAAATATTTAAAGTAAGGAAGTTATTGTTCAAGTAACAGTTTCACTGATAGAATGTTGAACTCTTCAAGTTTCACATCTTAAGATTTTAAGTTTAGAATTAAGTACATAGTGCACGTAAGGTGGATATATGCAAAAAAGGAAAAGGTTCATATAAAACGTACTTTGAAATAGTATTGGGAAGAACTTAAAAAATTCTTAAGAGAAATTAAAATGCTGTCTATGTAAGAACTTACCACTTACATTATCAGAATGAGATGTAAATGTGATAAGTGTGAATTTTTGCTCAGAATCCTTCTGAAGAACAAAATAACTGCAGGTGAGAGTTGTCAAAAAATTCAAAAGGGAGTTATAAGATATAGTACTTTTAGAGTCAGACAACTTATGACACTAGCAAAGTTACTTACCTCTATCACCTCTTGTTAAATTGTTGGTTATATTGGAAATATATGTGAAGTACACAGTTCCTGGTATATAATAGACACTCAAAATAAGTTGGTTCTCTCTCCAAACTCACATAAAGCACTTTCTATTTGAAACCATTCCATGACCTTTTGATGATGCATCAGCTTCCAGGAGTAACATACAATCGTATTTTACACCCGGAACCAACACTGACCAACCAGTAATACAGACTTTAGTGGGGTGGCAATGTTCCACCTAATGGCACATTTCTCAACTTGGATAGATGCACTGAATACAACTTAACAAGGGGTTAGAATTTATATATATATATAAATTCTTGATTGTCCTGATTATACATTGTACAAATATATATATAAACTTTTCTAAATTCAATAGTTGTCTGTAAAGATCAGCCTATTTTCCCTTTTCTAGTAGCAAAAGATTTGGATCTTTTTAAAATATGTGATGTTAATCTCAAAGCTTGACATAAAAGTTCCAACAGCTTAATTAGAAGTCTTTCAAAGGTTGACATATTATGCTCTCTATATAAACAGGGCTTGTGCTAACAAGCTTTTAAGATATTAACACTATTTGGGGCCAGATAGTTCTACACATCAACTACAGATACCAATTTCCTATCTCATCCTTTTTCATGGAAAAGACACACACTTGTTCTGTGAACTGACATGAGAGGACTAATAGGGATGATTGCCCTCATCCTCTTTCCCATGCATTCCTGAGCTTTTTGTTTGTTTGATTTTAAAGGTAGTGACTGAGCTTTCACTAGAGGTAGCTTGGATGCACTGTGGTAACTGAAAGTAGCCATCACATTTGGAAAGAGGCATCCAATTGAATCTCTCAGGTGCAGAAGGGCAGGTGCTTGACACATAAGAAGTGGGATAAAATGTAGGCCGCCCAGCTATATTTGGGGCTTGCTTTTACTAAAATATCATACATTGTTAGTATGTCTTTGAGTTATATGTTAAAAGTGTTTGACATTTCCCCTGAAACTTAAATTTCACTGGGTGTCCTATACTTTTGTTGGCTTAATTTGCAATCTGCTAGCAGGCAGCAGAAATGTCTTTGTCTTAGTAACATCCACAAGTACTATCATGTGAAGTTTGTAGTATGTAGAAGTAGCAGTGAAAGAGGTGTCCTGGAGAGTGAGAATTTGTGGGTACGTTAAGCCGGAATTCTATGTTTTTAGATTTTCAACATAATGTTTAATAATTTCTTACAATCATTTTGTTTATATCAAGTTTGGGAGAGGTAGAAAATTAAGAATGTAACAGGTAAGACATTATTTTTTAAATGAAACTTGTTCCAGGTTTCCTGATTGTCCTGATTATACAAATTTCCTGGTTGTCCACCAACCAAGAGCAAATAAATATGTCTGAATTGCTCCTTTAAGCTGAGTACAAGTGCCAAACTCCCTAATACAAAAGGCCTGTCATAGGACTAGCTACTAGCTGTCAGGGGAAATATGAGATAGAACCGAGTTGGCATATTTTGACATTAAGAATGAAAATAGGAGCTGGGAAAGAGAAAGAATAGAGGTTTTGGAGATTTCAAGTTGTAATTTTAAGAGTTTTATATACTATTTCTTTCCTTCCATTTTCCCCCTCTAGGAGGATAGAGGATGAGGTAATAGTAAGCATAGATTTCTTGAGGTTTGGGGTACTTACAACGTCAAGACTGGCCCTGATCTGAAGTTTTTAAAGCAGCATGACCCACAAAGTGATGGAAAAAGCAGCTGTCCTCCCTGTTTATGTCCCTCGCTTCCTGTGTAACCCCCAAATGCATAGCTAGCATTCCAGCTGGCATCCTCAGGACTAGGATGCACAGAAGGTGGCCCTTTGTGATTTCAGCCCCATAAAAGATGAGGGAAAGGTAGTCTATGAGGTAGCAGAAGTTACAGCACTCTACAGAACACCTCTGGCAGACCATTAAACATGTGATATGAAAAATAGAGTCCAGCAGCTGAGGCAGCCAGCTAAAATGGCCATCCATCTATACAGTGACCAAAAGAGCTCAAGCTGTTTGCTGGGTTTATACAACCAATAAGCTGCCAGGATACAAATCCAAGGAGTTGGACTCCAAACAGTCGGTACCAATTCATACTGTGGCAGCTTCGTGGGGACTTTGACACTGTCCTCTGGACCTCATGAAAACTTGGATATTTGAGTAGGTGAAATAGGAGCAAGAAAACAGGTACCCAACAGAAAACTCACTCTTCACATTGTCACAGAGAGCCATCCCTTAAAAATAGTGAATTGATTAAATGATTGAAGTTCTGTTTTGATGGGTAATTGGTAGCCTTCACTAAGAGTGGGGGAAGGCTTTAAGGGAAGCAATCTCAAAACTTTTCACTTTCAATGGCAAAACCAATAAGTAGGATTACCTCACTCTTTCCTATCAAAATACCTATCACCCTTTTGTAGCTTTTGGTTTTCATTCAACTGGTTCTTATATTTTCTTTTATCTTGCTTCTCTGTATGTTAAATTATTGAAAACCTGAAAGCAGGGAGGATAAAACTGTGATTTTTTCCCATAATATCACTTTTGATCCCTTAGTTCCTAAATGTGTCGAGGACAGTACTCTGAGCAAATCTTCAATAAATGTCTTATTAATTTAATAAATTTTTCTATATGTAGTAACATATCTTTGTGATAGGTCTATGAAAGTACGAAAAGGAAGATGTTTCTACTTATTATTTTCTACTTTTTAAACAACAAACAACATTGCCTGTTTTATGATTATTAATAGTCAATGTCTATCTTCTCCTACTACCTCATTAGGAAACAAACATGGTACCATCTACCTTCTGACATCCCAAGCAGCTAGCCCAGTGGCAGGTACAACTACACAGTTAAGAAATGTTTGCTAAGTAGAAAGAACTTCAAATCAAACTTTGACCTACAAACCAAACTTGTACAAATTACAGAATTTGAGTGAGAACCTATCTTCAAATACATTATAAGAATATAGCAACAATCATTTAGAATTTGCTTTGTTTTGTTATGCTTGTAAGTATATTTGTTTATTCTTTCACTATATAGGATTTCTCCACTCCCCCACCCCCACCCTGGTGCAGTCACCACAGTTTTCCCACCACCAAAGTGCTGCAGGATACAAAGTGCTTCCCACCACACTTCACTGCGCCTTCCTCCTCCCCTGCCAGTCCTCTTCCTCCCCTCCATTCTCCTTCCTCTCCCCTTCCCCGCTGAGTGTCTCAGACCTAAGGTCTGCTTTCAAGGGTCAGTCTTCCAGTTTGTCTTTGTCAATTCCTTTGTTAAGCTTCTCTAGATTCCAAAAATAAGTGAAACCATCCAGTATTTATCTTGTCCAGGTGATGACAAGGCAAAACATTCTTAATGCAGAGTAAGAGAATATAGGCACCGAGTTAAAACAAAACAAAATGAAGAGAAGATTTTGTCATGTTTACAAGATTCACAAGACCAATATTCAGGTGAGGCACACTACTAGTAAGTTGACCCGTGTCTTACAAATAAAGTGATAGTTTTTTGTCTTGTTATAAAAATGCATTATATAACAAATAAAGCAGAGCTGGGGGGGTCTCCTAATGAAGTGACTCGTGGTATTTCAAATATGTCAAATGCAATTTTTCTATAAGTCCTTTCTATAAGTCCTCATAATTTTTAAAGTAATTTATC